TAGAGATATAGTTTAAGACAGGTATTTAAGACAATAGAATAGTTTATGCAATATAATATATTATATATTATTTGTTTTCTATAAAAATTTAATAAACATATATACTTGTTTGACTACAGAAAAAAAAATAATGTTAAAATAAATATATATATATAAATTGTATTGAAATAAATATTAGATTTAATAATTTTGTTTTTAAATATATTTTTTAAAAAATATTTATAGGTTTAACAAATTTAATAATATTAATAAGAATTTATGATAATAAAAGGATTTGAATTACAAAAAAATTAAAAGTAAAAGTATATTGTTATATGTTTTTTTATATAATTAAAAGATAAACAAGATTTTCAAACTAAAGTGGATTTCAATTAAAAATTTTATTCCATTACACTAGTTATTTTTAATGTTTTTAGATTTTTAAGCCAAGATTTATTTGCAATAAAAAATATAATATATTTTTTCTTGACTGAAATTATTATAAATAAAAATTTTAAACAAAATAGGTGTAATTAAATGAGAATTTTTAATTATTATATTTTTTTTATCTAAGAAATATAATTATTATATAAAATTGATAAAATATTTAAAATATTTTAAAATATTAAATTTAATATACAATATATGATTGAAATATTTTTTTTAAATTTGAATTAATATTTTTTATACTGATATTATTCAATATCTGAAAAAATTAATAAGTAAAAATATCAAGACTTCAATCATTAAAATAGAAATCAAAATTGTATAAAAAATTGTTTATATATATTGTATATTATTGCAAATGATAGTTTACTTGGATTAATAAGAATTATCTTTGAAAAAATGGTTTTAAAGTTATCTGGTTTTGTATTTTTTCAAAATTTTGTAGATTATCAAAAAAAAAAAAAACTTTTTTAAAAAAAGTCTTTTTTTTTAGTTCATATTACATAATTACTAGAAGTAAACTGACATTTTTAATTTATAGTAAATATACAGTATATGAAAAAGATGACATATTATATGATACTAACAAATATGTTTTATTGTAGTTGATATTTTTTTTTAAAAAAAAAAAAATGGTTCTTATCGTGCGAGATTTTTTTTCGAAAAGCATATAAAAGATACAAACTCATAAAGTAAAAATATACAGTAGATACAGTACACTAAATTAATTAAACGTTACCAAAACCAAAATCAAAAAAATCAATTTACCGTTTATTATTAAACGTATATTTTAAATGGGGCGCACAAAAATTCCCGATTGTTCTGACTTATGATTATTGTTATTTGGAGAAAAAAAAAGGATGATGATATCGATAAAATACGGTAAAAACGATAAGCATAGTTGTGTGTATGGGGAATAACGGCAAAAATGAAGTTACTAATTATTCATTTTATTTTTTTTTGTAAAAAAAAAAAAAAAAAGGCAGGTGGCACAAACAACCGATTCCAGTGTACAGTTAAATCATTCAATTACGGAGGCGGATTTTATGGTTATTTCATTAACAAATACGGTGTACCGCACATAATGGACGTTACATAAATAAACAATATTAAAAATATCATGTCAATGAAAATAATGTATAAAAAATTACACTATATTGATGATGATGAGAAGAAATATTGTACAGGTTTACTTTCAATAAATCTGTTTATTTTACACAATTAAATGATCTTTTTTTTTTTTTTTTTTTTTGAATTAATCTTGTTTACTCATTGAATGTGTACTGTACTGTACATGCCTTGAGCATTATCATTAAAATCTGAGATTTTTTTTTTTGAAATAATAATAATAATAATAAAATAATCGGAATCACGAATTCACGCACTCACGCATACATATTACGTTAAACCTAAATCCAGGTTATCCAAATTACCATATTTACCAACGTTTTTTTGATCCTAACTTAAAATCCGTTTTTAGTGAAAAATTCTTTATAGACCGAGTTACAAACCAGTTCTCAACTTTTTGCGTGATGGAAATACTCGCAAAGCAAATATAAAGTTTCCGATTTTTGGAAATTTTTGACGAGAATCCCACAATACAATTAATTGAACTTTATTTTTGTACGTTCCTTAAAAAAAATGGGAATATTCGAACTTGATTAGTGAGGTTGCATAAGAATAATAAAGATTTCCATATAATTCCGTTGAACAATCAGTGTATTAAAGTAAATAAATAAATATTGCAGCACAATTACACAGGATTGTGGCGCGGTCGCGAGGACTTACTGTAATTGAAAATAGTGGGATGGGAGGAATAATCAATGATTAATGATTGTGTGGTGAGGATAGATCTAATGGAATGTTCTGGTGATTACTAGTAGATCCCGGCAAATCAAGCGATCTATTTATAACACCTTTCCGATCGTCACTATTCCAAATTGAACGAACATTACGTACACGCGCTTGGAGAGCTCTGAATAATCCGTTATGCTGGCTAAAAAGCCCACACAGCTAACATAACGAAATCCTTTTTGTATTACGTATTGCGTAGGTACTTGAAATGAATGTCGATTTCCCAATGATTGTTATGAATCAATCACTAATATTTGAAAATAATTGATGATGCCCAATTTGAACCTCGTTGAAGTCACTGAAATGCAGGTTCATGCGATTTACGAACTTTTCATGACGTCTTTCAAGTACGTAAGAATGATTTTACACACAATATTTGATGATTTTTAAGAGTTTCCTTTTTATCCGGTCGGACATGTACAGTATATGCGTATTCTCTTCTCGTATTCGACAATTCGACAGGCTGTAAGTCAAAATATGCCAAATTTTTTTATTTGCCTATTTTTCGTGCTTGTGACAAAAGAACTATTAGAAAAAAGAAAAAAAAAGACGCCACCAAATATTACATCCTCCCTCCCTCCGCCACATTGATCATAGATTGGAATTTACGTCATCGATCCGCTTATCATGTTCTTATCAAAGGATAACCCCACGATTCCTGAGGATTCGATTTCTTCGATTTCTTCGATTCCAGGATTGATGTTAAATATCAATATTGCATTTGCCGATATGCTATTCCAATTTCAGAACCTTTGGAAAACCAGAGACTCGACGAATGACGAACGCCTTCTCGTCAAGAAATAAATAGTAATAGTAATAGTGTGTAGTAGTAGTAATGGTAGTAGTAATGGTAAGTAGTAGTAGTGGTGGTGGTGGTGGTGGTTTAGCAGTAGTAGTAGTAGTAGTAGTAGTAGTAGTAGTAGTGGTGGTAGTGGTGGTGGTGGTGGTGGTGTAGCAGTAGTAGTGGTGGTGGCGTAGCAGTAGTAGTGGTGTAGCAATAGCAGTAGCAGTAGTGATAGTAGTAGCAGTAGTGGTGATAGCAGTGGTGGTGGCAGTAGTAGTAATAGTGGAACAAGAAGAAAATCTTTATTGTTGTGAAAAGACCAAAAGAGGATTTTTGAATGTGAATCAACTTTAAGTTAGATGTACGTGTGTTTCTTTCTTTAGTGCAGCAGAGTGCACAGAATATGCCTGTAACCGGCCGGGATTGCGATCACAGCACGCCAAGTCGATTCCTACTACCAATTCTGTCCCGAAAAGGACATCAAAAATATTAACGAATTCTAAGTGTATTGCCAGTTATTGTTGGCAGCATGTGAGACATGTATAGGTGCTGTTGGCGTTACAATAGTCAGGATTATCGACGCAACCAGATTTAACCTGTTTTTTTAACGTTGAAACCATTCGTGTCGGTTGAATAAACAAGTAAAAATGAACAACAATAAACAATTAGCTGGTCTCTGAGTTGACACATTGATTTCTCCCATAAACCTGTGTGCAAGAATTTTTAAACAAAAAAAAGTGTTCGAAAAAATTAGGTAAGAAAATACACGTGTCCGTCTTCCCGGCGACTCGAGCACTCGCTTCCCAGGAAAATGCGAATGTCGTTACGTACGTGCGTACGAATAATGAAAAATGCCCAATTTCGGTGGTCCACGTTATCCACGCCATCGATGAATGCTAAAATGCATGTGTACAATAACTCCTCAGATCTGTAAAATGTTATGGAATCGACGATTCACAAATGTCATAATCGATATGACGACACTTTTTCGATAGATAAGAAAATAGGACTTTTGGTAATCGTGTAGGAAATTCCATGTTCCAGAATTCAATACACATCATTTATCACCATCAATTTTAGGGAATCAAAGGGAAAAAAAAAAATGGGTAAGTCTAATTTTTATGCTATACGATTGATAATAATAATATTATTATTGGTTAAGCTACAGAAAAAGTTTGGATCCGCGAACATCAACGGGCGTATTATAGTTTACGATATGAACTTTTTACTTTTTCACGATAATTTTTGTGATGGGAATTTTTAATTCCCCCATTTTCTTAATCGATAAATTCCGGAATTGAAAATAATAAATAAATTTCGTTATCTTTAAAATCTGATGTTTTGCATTATATCATCATACCTGAGAAATCAAAAAATTATTTTTTTTTTTCTTTACCCCATTTTATGTGTGTACGCACTGCACCGAGTCTTAATGAAAAAAATGAAGTCGCATACGTACACGTACGTACATATATGCAAAGTACCCACATCTACGTAATCTATTTTTCGTCAAAAAAAGGAAAGACACTGGAAGACCAGGCAGATCTAGTGACCAAAAAACAATACGTAATTACATCATGATGATCTATCATCTGTCAAATATTAATATATTGTATATGGAATATGGATACACGTATACACATTTATGTTATGTATATTTATCTAGACTTCTACACTTATTTATTTTTTTTATTTATATAAATATGTTGTACGTTTAAAATAGAAATCTTGTGTCGATCAAAATTCTCCGGAAAAAAAATCAATAAATAGTACTGGATTCGTCTTCTCTCAAAAACTTTTTTTTTTTTGCTAGACATTGTATATTCTCACGCAGAAATTTTGTGATTGCACTCTCACTCTTCTTTCTTGAATCATCTAGTAAAATAATAGTAATAAAAGTTATTTTTTCGTGAACCAAAAAAAAAGAGAAAACACAATGAATTCGTTATGGTCAGTTTATTCTTCCACCGCCAACGAAAATTTGGATGGTAGGTATCGTCGGTTTGACAATCTGTGAAAATTTTTTTTTTTCCTTCTTTCTCTTTACTTCCCATGGGTTAACGTGATTTCCTTTTTTTGCATCCAGATATTACACTTCCAACTTCACGATTTCTAATGCAATGTAATGATCTCGGTATGCACCCTCAAACACTTGATGAGAATTACAGTCCAGAAATTACCGGTATTTATGATGGCGCTTCAGATTTCTATCCGATGATTCCACCGAAAAGTAATGATGATTACGCCTATGTCAACGCCACAACATGCCTAATTCCCATGATTCCAACGAGCTTTGTGACCCACGAAACAAGCACCAGTCCATCATTATCATGTAAGAAAAACAGTTCGAATACGATCCATTCACCTACCCCAAGTTTGATTACAGACGATGAGCAAGATCCACAGCAACAGATGCAATTTATGTACGATTTCCAGCTTCAGGCGATTAACGAGTCATTCAACAATCCGCCATCACCAGATTTTCATACAAAAGGATCTTCACCTGTCCAATCAAAACAATTATCACCGGATCTACATGATAATCATTTAAATATTCCCAACCAACAGTTGCCTTCCCCTGTTTCCACCGACAGTGACGGACTCGGTATTGATCGTTTAACACCACCTCCATCACACCAAACTACCCCAAAGCAAAAAAAACGTCGTGTTAGTAAAAAATCTTCTTTAAATAATATGAATATTATTACCGAAAGTCAACAAACTCGACAGCATTCAAACATTTTCACTACCATAAACACTCGGGACCTATCAGACGGTACCTGTGAGTACGACGTCTGTGACGACAGCCTAAATAATTACGTTTTCCCTTCCTCAGCCTCAGCCTCATCCTCATCCTCTAGGCGAAGTTCTGTGTGTGCTGGCACCAAGAGGAAGGTGATCGATGATTCGGATGAGACTCCTGAAGAAAGACGTCGAAAGTTCTTGGAGAGAAATCGTATTGCAGGTAATTTGGTACATCCGTCCTTTTTTTTCTCACGCAACTCGTTCCATCGACATCCATTAATCACTCTCCATTTTTTTGAATTTTCAGCATCCAAATGTCGACAGAAGAAGAAGGCCGCCATGCAAGAATTAAAAGAACGAGCAGATGCTATAGGCACGAGGAATGCTTCGTTGCACGGATTCGTGAACGATCTTCGTGAAGAACTTTTGACCCTAAAGAATCAACTGCTCGCTCACAGGAACTGTAATTGCAACATCCTTCAAGAATATATTAGGAAGGATGCCCACGCCAACGCACCCGCCACAGCAACACAAAAAAACTAATCCAGGATAAGACCGATAATCACAAGCAATTTTCACATAAAACTTCACCCACGAGAAATATATATTGATATGTATATATATTATATATATATATATATATATCAATATACATTTATTCTTTATCCTAGTGAACATTCTTTATGCTAACAATCGAATATGATTAAGAAAAAATTATATAAAAAAAAATGCTATATAAAAAAAAAAAAAAAAAAAAAAAAAAAAAATGTATAAGCTTCAACGGAAAAAGGCGTGGGGCATGGTTTGGGAGGGGAAGGAAGAGGGGGGTGAAGAGGATGAGTCGATCGTATTCGCGGGCAAAGATGGTGATCACGAAGATTTCCTTTGTAACTTGAGGATCTCTCTCCTCGTGCGAAATATGCTTATGATAGACAATAAGGAACAACGATATCATCCTAAAGAAAAATGACAAAAAACAAAAATTCTCGCTCTGTAATGTATGTAGATAGTCAGATATATAACATAATTCATATACGCAATGTTCTGCATTGAAGAAAATATGTTTTTTTTTTTTTTTTATTATCATATATTAGAAATTTAAAATTTCCTCTTTGTACATAATCGCTTTTCAAGTTTGTTATTGACTCCGGATTTTCACTCTTTGGATAATAAAATAACCATATGTTATTTGAAATAATGTATGTGATTATGCTGGTGACATATATTAAGTGTATCTGGAATTTGCGTTCCAAAAGGATTCACCTATGTGTGACGAGTTCTACCTTAACCGCTAAATACATCATTTATTATTAACCTTTTGTGATCATAGATAGCTGCTCCAGAGGAATCTGTAAAACATGTTTCTTTTGTTTCACTTGTGCGGCTGTGAATGGTTATTTTCCATTTTTTCCATTCATAAGGTGAAACACTGATATTTTTAAGGAATCAACAAAAACAATGAGCATTATGCGCAATTAAACAAACCATGGCGGATTCCGGTTAGACGCAATTTTTAACCTTATAATTGATGTATATTGCGTATCGCTGAACCTGTTTTATAATTTTCCATGAGAATGAGAAAAACTGCTGGTACAAAATTCAATGTGACATCATATGTACATTCACAATACGATTGTGGAAGGTCTTGTCTTTATTTAGAAAAACCTTAGCCGGACATGCATTCTTTGGTCAAAGTTGGACTCAGGACCAGGCTTACCTAATTATTATATGAATCTGCATATTGTGTCGGATGAGATCAATGAATAAATAAATATTTATAAAATATGTACTGTAACCTTACAAATATATTCCGGATATATCTGAAAGCATGAAACCTTGAGCAGGGCGCACATTTTTGACACAGTCACTGACATATATGGTAAGTTGTTATCGGAGGTTCATCGATGATACCAATTCATTTGCGAGAGATACGTGACCTCTTCTCTCAGGGGTGCTTTGTTCTTCCAAGGTGTGGTATTTGCTTTCATTCAAGCGCGGTAACAAAATATAATCATTACGCCAAATTAATTAAAATACGTTTCACATGATGCATTAGTATTTAAAATGAAAGGTTGGTTAATTTCAACTTGCATCTTTGAGAGATCTAGAATAGTACGTCAATGGATTTATTTCTCGACTCATTATTCATTTGTTTATTTTTTTATTTTATTTTATTTATTTTTTTATTTATTATTTTTCTTTTTTCTTTTTTTTCTTTATTATTTTTCTTTTTTATTTATTTATTATTATTTTCTTTTTTATTTATTATCATTTTCTTTCATTCTTTATTATCATTTTCTTTCATTCTTTATTATCAACTTCTTTTTTATTTATTGATTTTTCTTTTTTTCCCTAATTGCATCGAAGGGAGCACCGGATTCATTAATGCCTCTGAAGATCATGTTCAATTCGGGAATTCGTTTACCTTTCGGTGTCAAATTGAATGTGCCGGATATAATTTGATGCGAACGGAACCTGACCAACGGAACCTGACCAACGGAACCATCGATTTTGAAATGGTTTCTTGATTCATTCGTGAATTTATTAATTTGTTTTTTTTTTTGTTATTATTATTATTATTATTATTATTATTACTATTATCAAATGCAGCACATAAATAAAATCTGTATTATGGACCATCCTAGCATGAACGTATTGTATTCCAGTCGATCGTCAAATTAATTAATTTTTTTTTTTTTTTTTTTTGTTCCACCTAGATTTCAAACTACAGTAGTAATTTACACACGGATCCCTGGACCATCAAAAAGATTAAAAATTAAAATGAGCACATTCGATGGATTAATGAAATAATGTAGTTGCGTCCGATGGACTGAAGATTAAGGTGCGCGCGTTCGATGGATTTAAGTATGCGATGAGATAGCTCGTGACACATGCAGAACGTAACCGTGCATGCAAAAAATAAATTTTTTTCATCGTGATTTTTTTTAATATTGAATTTTTAATTAATCTACCGTATTTTAAAATTACCAAATCGCAGATTTCAAAGGGTTCTACTTTATCGAATGTCCCCATCAAGACGATACATGATGTTGGAATTTTAATATGTTGTTTTAAAATAGACTGGAAACAAATATAATAAAATACCCCCCCAATATATATATACTGTATATTATATAATATACTGTATTTGTATACTATAATTCATTTTTTTTTTTTCAAATTCATAAAAACCATATATCATTTATATACAGTATTTATATTCAACCAATTATTGAAAAATAATATATTCTATAATAAATCTATTAAAATTGGTTTCCATCTCTACAAGTTCACAAGCAATAACAAAACTTGATAAAGTGAAAAGAAATGATTGAACATTGAATCAAAATTGCATGTGCAAATGGATTTGATGAATAGAACAGTAAATACTGTAGTTATACAAGAATACATATTGAATAGTGTATAACAAATGTACAGTATGTATTAAATAAAAAGGCATATTCTCGGGTAAAACAAGACAATTCTTTTTTTTCAATACATATAAAACTAATAGTTTACTTGTAATATTTTAAACAAATCAAAATATTATATTATATTAACAATTAGATAATAATACAAAAATATTATAAATATATGATATAAAAAATAAATTAATTAATATTATAAATAACAAATTGAATTTCAAAATACAGACAAATAATATTATATATAAAAATAAAACAAAAACAATAATTCTTAAAATTCAAGTATATTGAAAAAAAAACTTCAACAATAATAATAAAAATATCTTAGTTAAAAAAATTAAAATTAAAATAGATACTGTATATGATTAAACAAACTTGTAACAAACAATAAATAAATAATCAAATAAATTTACAGTATAAAACAAATATAAAATATATATAAAGGAAAAAAGAAAATTAATTAATATAAAATAAAAAATTATTAGTAATATATATTAATATTATAAATTTATAAATCAATATAAATAATTATAATCAAAAAAATCAAATTAAAAATCAATTATATTATATTAACTTGTAAAAAAAAACTTAAATTATATATAATTAATAAATATTTATAATTTAATAAATTAAATAAAAAAAAAAAACTTTTTTCGCTGATTCAAAAATTCCTGAAAAAATTTTTTTTTTGATAATTTTAAAAAAATAACAAAAAACATTTCAAGAAAAGAAAAAAGCAACTTAAGGAAACAAGAGAAATCTAATCAGATTTTTCAAGTATAACAGGTAACTTCTGCTACAAAACTAATCAAATCTTTCTTCTTTTCAAATACCTTTTCTAGGAAAAACAAACTTTTACAAGAAAAAAAACAAAAAACACAATAAACAATTTATAGTAAAGTCAAAAAGAAAGAAATTAGTATTAAGCTTTCAAGCTATTAGCCAATTATATATCAGGTTAAATACTTTCTTTAGATACTAACAGAATTCTGTACTGGCCAGATTACATTTGGTAAATTAGATAATTTTGAATATCAGCACAAAACCAAAAGAACATTAAAGTTTTCTTTTTTAAAATCTTGAATAAAGAGAAAATAAAAAACACAACATGTCCAATATATATTTTATTAAATCTTATATAATACAATCCAGTTTCTACAAAAATGCAAATCAAATTTTAATCAGTAATAGTATAAAATATTATAATAACAAAATATATTTAATATACTGTTATAATACAAATATGCAACTTGATCAAAATATATGACAAAAACAACTTAGATATATAACTTTTAAAGCAAAATAATATAAACAACTAATAAAATTAACAAAGTTCTTAATATATTTCTAAAGACATATCTAGATAATACAACAGATATTTGATTAGCAAAACAACTATAAACAAAACACATGTCAGATAAATAACTTAAAAAGGAAAAATATATATATAAAATAAACAAATAAATAAACAAATAAATCAACATACGTATGTATTATCTTATAATAATAACAAATATTTAAATTAAGAAGTAGTAGAAAAACAATAAAATAACTTATATATAATATATCTGTATATATTTAAAACAATAATAGAAATTTTAGCAATTTCATTGAAGAAACAAATAATTGATTATCTTAGAACACTTAAGGATAACTATAATGAAAAAAATCAAAAATGATTATATACTCTTATAAAAAATAAAATAATCAATATAGCTTTAGAAATTTCAGACCTGTGAGTACTTATAAATATTATAGTTATAGATACCATAATAACAAGACTTCTTAATATTAACTCAAATATTATAATTAAATAAGTTCTAGTAAAAAAATATATTAAACAAATATAGAAATTCAATTAACTCAATATAAATATTCTGAACAGATTTTTAATTAAAGATTCTTAACAAGTAGCTTAGATCTTAAGTATACTTCAATCAATACAAAATAATATAAAACAGTTTAGTATTAAACAAATTTATACAACAGGCGGGTGTGAAACACAACATGCCATACAGCACAAATACATATAGCGAGTCCATGCAACTCAATAAAGAGGCAGCATAAAGACAGGTGGAGATAATAGAATACCTCACACTTAAAGATAATTATTATGTG